CAGTGGCTCCCAAAAGAATAAATCGTTTGCTAAGATGAAGCCGATTTAAAGTGCATTCACTTCATAGACCATCAAAATACCTCATGTATAGCCAACAGTCTATTTAACAAGCCCGAAAGATTGTTCTTTACTGCATTGCGGCAACATGGAAAAGGAAGTAAAAGTGCGGGAAACTGCTTTACCTCAGTGCATGAGCATTTCGTCAAAAGGTCAATTTTAGGTAAATTTGGCCCGCCATCATTCAACGTCAGTCTATTCCTCGCATTTCTTCTATCAGCAATGACGTCCGTCTTTGAATCAGTCGGTGATTACCATGCCGCAGCTCGGATATCACAGGAACGAGCACCACCAAGTCACGCCATAAATCGAGGAATCCTCGCAGAAGGTCAGTTTGTTTCAAACTGTACTGCTTCTTCCATGTATACGTTGAACACGAGAAGAGTGATCAATCTCGCATTCCCAAGAGAATCACTTGAGGGCGTAAGAAAGACATCATTGCGTTCTAATGTCAGATACATAAAAATTTATGGAGCCATTTTGTTTCTGTATCATTACCAAGATCCAAGTTAAAGAACTTCGATGGAAGGCAAACTCAGTTTCGTGGTGAATTTTGTTCCACATGAATGTTTTCAGGTGTTGGTTCCTTCCTATCAGGGCTGCTGGGACCTGCAGTTGGAATGACAACGCATACTGAGAACATCGGTGTAATCGGCGTCACAAAAGTTGCCTCCAGATGGACGATGGTAGTCGCTGGCATCCTTCTGATTCTGCTAGGAGTTTGCACAAAGGTATGCGATGACTGCTCACAGTTTCATTGAAAACGGCACATAATCATTAGTGACGAATAGGTGCTACGGATTCCGCAAGTTTCTGCAGCTGACCAGCGTAACAGGAAGCTGTGACGATATAGCCTTCCTTAAGCAATTCGTGGTACAGCATGCCTTTTGAATCCCAGAAGCAACAAAAGCGAAACTCTTCGGGGTAGGGGCCGGATTTGGCTTGCGTCGTCGCTCGAATTTGAAAAATGATTCATGCAGCGCTTTTTAGAGCAGAGTCAGCTAACTAGCTAATCGTGCAGATCGAGACGATTGTCGTGCAGTTTTACTGCAGGCTGCATACGGCAGTTCTGCTATCTAAACTAACTCTGCACGCCTAATCAAAACTATTTTTTGACATTTTAAGCAGTAGAAATAAAAATTTCCAAAAGACAGCTTGAGCTGAACACACTTTGGTCGATTTCATTATCGGAGTAACAGCAGCTACAGTAGATTTCAGATTGGCGCCATCCTGTCGACTGTTCCCGATCCACTGGTTGGTGGGATCTTGGCGTCATCGATGGCAATGGTTGTCGGAGTAGCTGTCTCGAATTTGCAAACGGTTCGTTCATAAACAATTTATACACTTGTTTTAACAATTTGTTAGGTGGAACAATTTATTTAGTCAACGGCCTAATGTTTCGACGCAATCGTTTCTTCAATCTGAAATTAGCAAATGGTTGTGTAAAACAAACGCGGTTGTGGGTGTTTCTCCCCATAAGTCAGAACGCATCCCATCGCGCGCAGTCGCGTGCTTTGGACGGAAACTTTCAAATCCCGGTAGAAGGATATGATAGCCGCCGCAAGCCAGTACGGCTAGTGTCGCGCCGTCGGCGACGTCCTCCGAGCCCTTCCGCATTGGTGGCCACTCGGTAGGGCGTCCTCGGCGGCGTGAGCTAGGTGACCGGGGTCTTCTGCCCTCTCGCCATGCTCGTATTCAACTGCACACGGACTTGGTAGGCCTAGGGCTGCCCCAGTCTCCCTTGCAGGCTCCTACGGGATGGTACTGCCTCCGCAGTACGCTACGGGGTTGCTAGCCCAGTGCCGAGCTCCCCAGGACACTGGGCACTCGGTCCGACCAGAGCCTACGTGGTTATTCCCTGCGCATGGAATAATTGCGATATAGACGATGTTACTGACATCCTACGTATCACCAACACACGTACATGATACACATTTTATGATATACTACGTCGATATGATATGGGTTGTAAATACAATTAAATAGAGAAAGGCGCTATGGGAAATGCTGTGAACAAATGCTATGGAAAAATACTATGAAGAAAAAGGGCAAAGAAATATACATGAAAATAACCACACTATGACCTACGGTCTGGTGTGCGATCCGATCTCAATCTCATCCAGGTCCCATCCAAGCCTTCCCACCTCCTTTTTGGCTATGCTGTATCCAGGTCCTTGATAGCAGTGGACCATCTTCCAGTTGTTTCCATTCAGCTTCGATCCATGCAGCTTGGCACCACTTAGAGATGGCATGAGAGTGGTGCTATGAGCCCATCGGGGGCTACGTCGATATTGCTGACGTTGAAGGCACAGGAGTAGTCGAAAGCAGCCGGCTGTGGCGTTGACACGATGGCGAATGAATGATGCAAACGCCGATAGCGGCTAGAGTCCGCCGCCACGTGGCAAACTCTAGCTCTCTGCAACGTACGGTGCCTTCCCGGCGGGACTGGGGGCGCGCCACGGCCAGGCCGTCCTTTAAGTCGTTCGAACGGCACGACAGCTTGCGTGGGAAATCGGGAAGAAATATCTACCCTAAAGCCCCATGATTCCTGAAAGCATTCAACAATTACCTTTTAACAGCTATAAATCAGCGAATCAAAAGTGAACTCTCCAAAGGAGCAGCTCTACTTTTAGTCGTGTAGAAATGATATTTCCTATTGCTCAACTCTGGGCAACCATAGGAGGGTCATCATATTTTGCCTTCCATTCATTTCGATGCTTCGTACAAATTATCTTTTTATCTGCATGTTAAATATCGGCTGTGTGTTTATAGGTGGACATGAGCATGCCACGAAACATGGGAATTCTTGGATTTTCAATGCTCTTCGGAATGATCGTACCCGAATACTTCCGACGATATCCCGTGGATACAGGTAAGAGTAAGAGTAAACTTTTTGGTATCGGATCTTCAGTCTGTGAGTCTTACCCAGACATAACGCATAGTTATAAGCCTGGGAAACACTCCAAAACCTTCCACAGCATGAGGTT